AATAAATCTGCAAAAATGTCAACGATTCTGTGTTTTTCTGTCAATATGGGGTGCTGTGTGTACATTAATGAGGAAAAAAAATTAACTTAAATGATTTTAGCAAATGGCTGAAATATAACAAAGAGTGAAAAATTTAAGGGGGTCTGAATACTTTCCGTACCCACTGTGTATATATATATATATATATATATATATAGTTTTGTATATAATTTATATATATATAATTAATATAAATTATATATATAACAACACCGCGCCACCGACGGTAGTTGGTCCATTACCACTGGGGTGGTAAAAATCTGCCACCGTCACAGCCCTACCGAAATTCCTGTGCTCACAGGGGTCCCTTAGCCCCCTTTGCCCACTGCAGGCAACCCCTTGGTTTGCCCTAGTGTGCTCTAATACTGCAGTAGTACATCAGCCTTGCCTTTTGTACATGAAGAGAAAGAATGAAAGCCTGTAGGGTAAAACTTAAGGATGGCCTTTAGATTTGGTGTTGCCTGGCCACTGCACTAAATGAAAGGAAGGAAGGGGGGAAACAGGTTAAGACCTGGGAGGGGGAGAATAGTGCAGGAATGCTTTCGCCCCTCAACATTCTGCACTATCTGTCAGCTCAGGTTAGTTTAGTTTGGGCTGTGCAAGAGCGTCAGGGTGGAGCTGTATTTTAGCAGAGTGAGAAAGAAAGAACAAGGAAGGGTGCTCAAATTCCTCCCCTTGATCATTTAATCCGACCGAAAGCAAATGCTCCCGGCTGCTGTGTACATACTGTGGCGATGTGAAATGTCAAGATCTCAGTCCTCTTTGTCCTGGCCTCCCTGGTGCTTAAACACTACCAAGTTCTTTTCCTTACCCAAAAGAGACAGTTTTGCTTCTGTGCAGATTGCTTGATCAAGTGCCCCAGGGCTTTCACCATGTCACTACGGTGCTCAAACCTGCCCAGCTCGACCGGGGGTTAAATAATTAATTCCCCCTCCTTGCTCACTGCCAACAAGCGTGTAAGAAACCCCCCAGGCCGACTATCCTTAGCTGCTCATCAGGCGGGGGCCATGGAAAGCCATATCCGATGCCTTTTATTGCTCCTAGTATGCAAATTGTGGTCATTTGAGACCACAGCTCCCTGCAGGGTCATTGATGCCATCGTATCAGAAATGCAATGGAGATGTCAGGGTTTGACCGCTCCCCTGGTTTAGTTCTTGCTAGGGGTGCAGATGGCTGAACACAATGCCTGTCCTGTGCTGTGCACCCACTCTGAGCTCCTCCCAACCCAGAGGCAACACTGGCGTCTATCCCAGCTCTTTGGAAGTTAGCTACAGCTGGCTTATAGAACAGGAGCACCTACTGATCACAGAGTACAGAGAACTATAAAAGTGTGTTTTGTTGGGGAGCAAAGCAAGTCACTCTGTTTGAAGATCCTGAGGGGTTTTGGTTCGACAGAGCAAGTGCTATAAATGGCTATAGATGGGTCAATGACCTATAGAAGTGCCCACAATAACGAAATTCTTTTTTTTAATCTAGTTTTAAACACGTCATGTTCTTAGGAATGTACTCTATCTGTCTGTCTATCTATCTATCTATCTATCTATCTATCTATCTGTCTGTCTGTCTGTCTGTCTGTCTATCTATTCAAGTTTCAATTTAATGACAATTTACTTATTTGTTTTCTGCATGTTGGTCACACTACATGAATTACCTTTGTGGGCAAAAGTAATTTTGTTGCAGTATTTAATAACATTTTTAGTTCTAGGAAGTATCAATATTTTTAATACTTTACTATTATTTTATTATTATTAAACATTTGAAATATAAAAAAATAGTTTTTTTGTATTTTGATATCAGGACAGTTTGGGACAGTTTCTCCTTTTTTTGACAATTTTTACTTATATGCCTCCAAAAATATATTGGAATACATTTTAATACCAAAATTAAAAACATGTTCATCATAGAGAAGGAGTATGTAACTTACTGTACGTGTGAATTGCATTTTAAATATATTTTTGGTAAATTAATGAATATGGATGAAAAATAAGTATTAGATGCCAAAGTTTGATGTCTGACACTCTGTGACATATTTTTGTGTGACTCCCTCCTCCGCTGCCAAGACATCTCCCCTTGATGCAGAGTGATTGCAGCACCCAGACTCGAAAAGATCACAGGACTTATCAAGGCAAACAAACAAACAAGTCAAAGACAAGTGTTAATTAAGCTGATCTTTAATGGATCAATGGTAAAAGGGAAGCTTGCAGAGACTGCCTGATCACTGTAGTGTGGGCCGACACATTGGGTTGGGCTTAATGTTTACCCAAAACCCTGCTCAACTGACCTAATACCTGCAGACAGGCCAACAGCCTCATCGATTGGATGAAAATCCTCCCTCCATTGCACTCTCTCTCCTCATTCTTAATCCTCCTCCTTTCCATTTCCCCCCTCACGTGGCCGTCAGCACTCGGTCTGAATCTTTCTCCCTCTATGAGGGGATCAATACATTCTCATACATCAGCTCACTCCCTTCAAAAAGCATGAGCCGAGTGCAACATCCCATCTTTTGTTCACCAGTACACTGCTACTTTTTAGATTCCAGGGGGATTTTTTTGTGTAATCTCTTCCACCCTCTGTGGCTTGTTCTCATTTGCCTGTTTCTCTCTTTTTCTATGTTCCTCCGAGGCCTCCGTCATGAGGCCGTATTGAGGAGGAGGGGCGTGGGTGGATGCAGGGGCTGGGGGAGGGGGCTTAGAAAGGAAGGCCAGGTGTATATCTCATGTGCGGGCCCGAACAGCTGTGTGGCAGGAGGCGGGGCTGGGGTTGTTTTGTCCTTTCCTCCCCCCACTCCTTTCCCCTGAGGCTCGGGCAGCTCGTCACAAGCCTTTTTTGCCCCAACCCCCCTAATTTGAGCCGCAGGCCTGAGAATGTTGAGTGTGCGGTGAGGACACTGCAGCACACACGGCTCGCTCTGAGACAATGCATCATTGGCATAGGGGCGAAGGAGGATGAGGGGAGGAAGGGAAGGGTAGAGAGGGCGAATGCAGGGGGGAGGGGCTTTTTCTGTCCATGATGTTCACTTGCAATCGTCGCTGGCAGCAAAATAACTCCCTGTTCTTGTCCACACATCCCCCGTATGTGTATGTGTCCAAACCCTAGCGCAGGGCGGGGTCTTGGAAGCAAGGGACAGAGAAGGGAGAGCTTTTGCCTTGCTTGTTCTGCCTTTGTTCCTGGTGTATCCCAGACCCCCACCACAGCCGTTCACTCTTTTGCACTCACGACAACCCAAGCGGATCTGTTGGGATGGCTTTAGGCCGGCCGGCCAGCCACGCCATAGCCTAATAATAACCCCACTAAATGGGTGCATTGAGTCTCCCCCTCAGGCAGCCATGTTTATCCTGATAATGATGTGGGGGTTGTTCGAAACATTCAGGTTAAGTTCGTTTTTCCTTGCAGCACAGCCCCCAAGCTGTACCAACATAGCAGTGATGTGTTTTTACAGTGTCCGTGGATCTGGTTGGAAGGGCGACCATGTGGGAAAGGACATTGGCAGGGGCCACAGATTCTCACAAAGAACAAAAAGGAACTTGGCTTAGTAGCCAAGGGTCTGCCTTAATGTCTTTGAGACCATTGTGAGCTTCATACAATACCTTGACAGTGGCATGCCGTGACCAGTGCTGTTAATGAGCTCCTCTGCTCTTTTTCTCCCATATTTCTGTAGTTCAGTCCCTTGGGGCACCGCAGCCTCATGTAGCAAGTTTTTTTTTTTCCACCAGCCCCAGTTGGTATGCACAGAAGAGCTGACAGGCTGCAAGGTGAGGTGGTTGCCCTACTTTTGAGGCCTAGAGTTGCAGGGAGACTCTTTGAAAGGGCAGATGAAGGAGAAAAGCATTAGCGTAGAGACCCTTTCTGAATAGTGTATCTGTCGAGCTTGTGCAGTCAAACAAAGACCTTCATAACCCATAAAGTCCTATTAGACCAGAACCTCTCTAATCATGCTAAAATGCCAGAGCAAGCCCCAAATCTCATTTGTCTAACCAGGTTAGGAAGGAACTGTTTGGCGGATCTCTGCTGTTGATGTTTGTACAGCCTGTTCTTTCTCTACGAATATCCAAATGATTAAAACTACCACTTACATTTATAGCGCACATCCTTCCTAGACAGCTCAAACCCGCCCACCATGGAAAGGTATTAAGTACAGGGGGAAATTGAGCCCACACGAAATCCCGATTTCAATTTGATATGGAGAGGTGGATGAAATTGATTAGCGAATGAGAATATGCATCTGCTCTCTTTTTCTATTGCATTCTGGGTGGAATTCCAGAGCATGTCTTTCTCTCTCTCTACCTCCTTGTCTGTCTTTCTCTCCAGAGGCATTGGGGAGGGGTGAACTGTGTGTGCGTATGGGGGTGGGGTCTTGGTATTGGGGGGTTGGGTGGGTGATTACTCGTTCAGTTAGCTCAGGCCAGGAAAAGAAAGGGGGAAAAAAGGGCCCGACTTACTTCGCTTACAATTTCCATTCGTTTGCATTTTCTATTGAAAGCCAATAGCAGTGTCCTCGCCTGGAGATGGATTGCTGCGCTAGAGCTAAGGTTTAATCAATAGATCTTTTTAATTTGCCATCGATCCATGTTAAAAGTTACTGCTGCTGTTGCTGTGTGTGTATGTGTGGTGGAGCACACGCGATGAAAGATAGTCTATGCTCGGGATTATTGACATTCTAGCCGGCTATTTCATTATTTAATTCTGGGATAGTTCCTAATGGAGCTGGCTAATAGATTGTGGTTTCTTTTTCTCTTCCATTCTCTTGAATATATTTATAAATGAAAGGTTTAGGGTTGAGCTGTGGAGTGGAAAACCCCCTCGTCTTTTTTCCCCTTAATTGGTGCATTAGCCGCTAAAACCCTAGCATTGTTTGTGAGATTAGAAAGTGCAAGGTATTTGCTTCCTGTTAAAGAAACAACAAAGTCGAGATCGTATCTCTTGGAAATGCGTGTGCGCATGCACGCGTGGGCGTCCATCTCCTCACGGGAGTGTGGGTTCCTTTGTGAGAACACACTTCTCCCTTTTACGTATCTCAAGGGCACGCCTGCCAGGACGTTTTGAACCGTTTCTGATAAGGGAAGAGCGGACTTGTTGATGCATACTGGGATGTCTCTTCTGAAATGAGACAGCAGTGGAGAGTGCTTATTTCTGTACCGATTTAAAGAGAGAGAGAGCAATGGGGTGGGGGTAATTGCAGCATGCCTTTTTAAGAACATCAGTGTCACCGCTCAGACTTGAGTTTATTTATCCAGCGCCCGGCCTTTGATAACATTCAGCAGGATCAGCAGTCGGGATCCAAAGCACTGAGTCATTCTGTCCTAGACCAAATATGTATATTGCACCAGCGTTTCCCCACTGAAAAGGCTAGCATAGATAGTCACCACCTTATGTTGTGTTTTGGATGCTAGTCATTAGCATGGAATGCTCAAATGCAGATTCTGTCTTTCTTGGTCAACCAGTTTGCCAGAAAGCCTTGGTGTGCCAGCTAGGGATGAGTCAGTGGTCAGCTAGTCATTCAACCACCTTTTCTTTTTCCCCAAGTTTGTTACCCCTGAAAGTGCTGCAGCATTCAGATAAACATCTTTGGCTGTTGCATCACAATGTTTTTGAGTCCCAAAAGTGTTGCAGTTTTAAGATGGTGTATGATCCATCTTAAGACACCTGCATTCTGTTTTAGTCTGTTGTGTTCTGGTCAGCTAGTTGTTTAGGCAAACTTTGATTATAGAACTATGTAATTTTGCACATTCTTAGCATCTTTTAGCTAGCTTAAACTACCAGTAACAGTTAACCTGAACCAAAAAATGCAAAGAGTCAAAGGCTTGACTCTAACTGTTGTTGCTTTTCCTTCTTGGTTCCTCAGGTGACCGACTGCGTCAGACAGAGAACCGAGCCACACGCTGCAAAGTAGAGCGACTGCAGCTGCTCATGCAGCAGAAGCGTCTGCGCAGGAAGGCCCGGCGAGACTCCCGTGCCCCGTATCACTGGCTCCCCAACCGCAAGGCTGGACGGAGCAACAGTAACAGCAGTATGTCTAGCGAAGGCTCCCTGGACCTAGACTTTGAGGACTCTGTGTGGAAGCCCGATGTCAAAGCTGATATGAAATCAGAATTCATCATGGCCTGAAGCAGCAACAGTTGCGCTATCCTCATCAAGGAAGACTGGGGTTTATATTTTAGAGAGGAGAATTTCCGAAGACTGTGTCTGACGACGCACAGAATCTCGTAGGCTTCACTCCTTGTCTATCCTGTGACCACGAAGACTTTTACACAAAGGAAGATTCACAGACTTTTACTTACCTTACGTCCTCGATAGACTATGATCTTGGAATAGACTAAATTTTCAAATGACGATGTTTGGATATGGATTGGACTGATGAATATACAGAGTTTGGACTCAGAACGTCCAAGACGTAAACACAAATCAGCATAGCAGACGTCATCGGTGTTGGGATTTGTTTTTCTCTTTCCTTTTTTTTGTTTTTCTTTTCACCCCAGGGGGAAGATCCATGCAGGCCAAATACAGGCACGATGAACTAACAAAAATCAGATATTGATCCTACTTCCTCCTTTTTTCATTACGAATGGGTATTCACGGTTCAAGAATCATTTGAAGGGGGTTACCTTGTTAGTTTTTAAGTCCTGTTTTTCTTGAATCATGATGATTTATGAAACAAAATATGTAGCATTACCCACAAAGCATTCAGGTTTTTTATCTTGTAGACGAGGAGGGTTCATTTGCACACACACCTGTGATTTAAAATAGACAATATCATAACATAACCAAGAGATGGCACAGTGCATGTTTAGTATATAAATATATAAAAAAAAAAAAAAAAAAACGT